TCAAACTTCAGAAATAACAGTGACTATTTACCTAAATAAGAGAAATATTTTAATTAGTTCAAAATATAGATTAAAGAACAGAGCAAATATAGATTAAGCAACCAGGGCTTTTTATTAAAAAATGTACACATAAATTGTCTGATCATACATCAACATTAATCTCAGTTGTTTCTTTTATTGTACTGCACAATTATCATAACCATTGTTGGTAGTTTAAATAACTGAGATAAATACTATAATTATGTAAAACTTCATTACTGGAATATTTAAGAAACAATTTTCTTCCCAGAGCTGTAAAAATTTTATATTATCTTTATTTATTGTTTTAATTTTACTTTTTCTGTTTCATTTTTAGAGTCAGGGAATAATATTAAATTATTTCATTATAAATTGGAGACATAGTACTAAATATTTGAGATGTACATTAAAAATTCTTAGTCAATACCAAATTGTTTTTTTCAATTTATAGCTCAATTATTAATGTTTAAACAGCAGGTTTCATTCCTTTATGAAGTTTTTGGTATCATTTTCTGCTATACCACTGTATTTTACACAATGTGATTCTTGCTTTAGAAGGCTGGGAATCAAGACTCATACAAACTTCATTTTTTTCTTAACAAGTGTTAAAATTTATGAACTACATTAAAGACAAGAGATGCAAGGACCAAGGGATCCAAACTAGAGAAAGGGCAAAAAGAATTTTAAAGATGAAGCAAATGATGTTCTATGATGCCAGCTCAACAGTAAAAGTCTTCAATTAGAATACACACAAGAAAAAAATTGCAACCTATGGATGACCTAATGTGTTTGGCATTGTTGAAAACTGTACTCAGTCTACTGGAAGAATTAGCAACAGATACAAATAAAGGCGACCAGGAAAAAAAATCATAGTAAAGCATAACATTCTATTATAAATAACATTTTCATAGATAGAATGATGCAGACATTGAATAATAGTTTAACATAGAAATATTTATTGGCGAGGTGGGGGAGGGATATCTGAGATGTTGGCAATTCTTGTAAAATGTGCAACCAACAACAACAACAACAAAAATCCTAGAGCATTTTAAAAACATTTATGTATCTTGAGTATTTCAGTAAAAGGAGGTTACTGGCAGAACCGCATTCCTTAGATCAGGAAATAAAAAAATTAGGATCAAACCTGACTGCAGGTAAGGTAATTTACTAATTAATAGCCTCTGGGAACAAGCAACACCACCTTTAAATCTTAAGTTCTCCGTAAATGTAAATTATCTTTTATCTTCCAGCTGTAAAGTTTTAAGTTGAAAATGAACTAAAGAGGAGCAAATTACCAACAGGAATGCAAGTCCTTGTGCTGTAGAACAAAAGGCAGCAATTTGAAGAAGACTATTCATGATGCTTTTGTTTTTGGTCTGCCTCTAAATTTGCAGTTGCATAGTTTATATTAAAGACCTAGAAGTGAAAAGCAGGCCCAGGAAGTTATTTTAACATTCAACAACTATTTATCTAGTTTAAATGTAATGAATAATTATTTTTCTCCTAATTACGGAAAACAATGGCAGACATTCCCGAACTGTCAGTTGGTTTTGCAGATTACCATTTACGGAGAATACTCAAGTGCCACTATCTGTTTGGATCTTTGCGCCTACAAGCGAAGCACACACGACCTCTCCTTTTCCTTTTCCCTTTACAAAGCGAAACAGACTAGACAAGTTCATGTGACGCGAGTGACGTCAGCCCCCACTGGGTCGCGTGACCGACACCCAACCTTGCCTACTATCCCGCCCCCGCCACCGGAGCGGGAAAGCTCGCGAGAACTGGCCTTACTATCAGAACTTACTTAGGTGACTGGGGGAATTACTCTGAAGGGAAAGGAAGGTGTGGCAGGGTGGTGGAGTTTTTGCTTTCATTCTGTTAAAATTCACGGCCAAGCTAAAGGCCTTTGGGGACTGCCAGAGTCTAGGCAACCCACCTGGAAAACACTAGGGGAGCTGGCTGGACAGAAGTGACAGTCAAATCTGAAGTGAAACGTGGCGCACCGGCTGTCCTCGGCCCTAGCTAAAAGGGTTGCGTGGGAGGGAGACAACCCGTGTCTTGAGCCGCGCTAGGCGCGGCGAACGCAGGCTTGAGCTGGGTTGGTCCCCCACAGTCGCTGGGAGACCGCAGGAGGTTAGGACCCTTCTGTGGAAGCATTCAGATGCCCACATCCGGCCCTGCCGGGTTAACACTGAGCGCC